CCCCATGGGTGTTCCAGTGTCCCCAGGGGTGTTCCAGTGTCCCCATGGATGTTTCATTGTCCCCATGGGTGTTTCAGTGTTCCGTGGTTGTTCCAGTGTCCCCGTGGGTGTTCCAGTGTCCCCATGGGTGTTCCAGTGTCCCTATGGATGTTCCAGTGTCCCCGTGGATATTTCATTGTCCCCATGGGTGTTTCATTGTCCCCATGGGTGATCCAGTGTCCCCATGGATGTTCCAGTGTCCCCAGGGGTGTTTCAGTGCCCCCATCGGCGTTTCAGTGCCCCCACACATGTTCCAGTGTCCCCATGGGTGTTTCAACATCCCCATGGGTGTTTCAGTGTCCCCATGGATGTTTCATTGTCCCCATGGGTGTTTCATTGTCCCCATGGGTGATCCAGTGTCCCCAGGGGTGTTCCAGTGTCCCCAGGGGTGTTCCAGTGTCCCTGTGGGTGTTCCAGTGTCCCCATGGGTGTTCCAGTGTCCCCATGGGTGTTCCAGTGTCCCCATGGGTGTTCCAGTGTCCCCAGGGGTGTTCCAGTGTCCCCAGGGGTGTTCCAGTGTCCCCATGGGTGTTCCAGTGTCCCCAGGGGTGTTCCAGTGTCCCCAGGGGTGTTCCAGTGTCCCCATGGGTGTTCCAGTGTCCCCAGGGGTGTTCCAGTGTCCCCAAAGGTGTTTCAGTGTCCCCATGGGTGTTCCAGTGTCCCCATGGGTGTTCCAGTGTCCCCGTGTGGAGCAGGCAGCACAGGAGGGATGGATGGAGGAGGGGAAGCGGGGGATTTGCTGTGGGATGAAGGCTCCAGCCTCATCAGGACATCCTGAGCCCCCCCGCGGGCAGCGGGCTGGGGGGGAAGTGCCTTCCAAGCCACATTCCTCCACTCCTGAAGGAACTGGCTCGGGACCTTCCCACGGGGATTTCCAGCCTGGGCACACATGGCTGCAGCTTGGATCGGGCTGGTGGTGTCCTGGCTCAGCTGCAGCACCCAGGAGACTGCGGGAGATCATCCTGGCCCTCCGGTGAATCACCGGGAAGGAACTGATTAAGACCTTGCAACATTTTCCTGCTGGAAATAACTTTCTCCACAGAGGCAGCCCAAGGCTGGTCCTGGGATGCAGCTGGGGGGATTGGATATGCCACAGGTTTTATCCCTGCTTTGGGGCTTGCTGGCTGGAAAAAGCCTCCTGAAATGAGGGATTGGTTGGGATGTGCTCCCACTCCCATAGGGGTGGGAAGAGAGGAAATTTCTGAAGCAAGAGAATTGAGGGATACTCCAGCCTTGGCCATGGTGGAGTTGTGGCTGAAGGGGGGTGGTGCTGGTGGCTGCTCCAGTCCCCTTTAGGGACAGCCACCCTAAATTTGGCCTCCCCCAGTTTTTCTGGCTACAGCGTGGGCATGGAACAGCTGCCACCTTTGGCTGCTCCAGGCCCTTTGGGTATGCCACAGGTTTTATCCCTGCTTTAGGGCTTGCTGGCTGGAAAAATCCTCCTGAAATGAGGGATTGGTTGGGATGTGCTCCCACTCCCATGGAGGGTGAGAGAAGAGGGAATTTCTGAAGCAAGAGAATTGAGGGATGGCCACGGTGGAGATGGGGCTGCAGGGGAGTGGTGCTGGGCTGCTCCAGGCCCTTTGGAGCAGGGACCACCCTGCCCTGCCTTGCCCCCAGCCCTGCATGCTCTGTGCTGTGGCCAGCAGACGTGGGCACCCTGGGATGCCCAGGAAGCCCCACAGCCCCATCCCACCCTTCCCCCTTGGCTGGCAGCACCTGTGGGGGGAGAGGGGCAATTCCTGCACAGCACCAGCGTGGTGACAGTGCTGTTGGTCCCAGTTTGCAACTGGGAGAGGGACAACCACCCTAAATTTTGCCTCCCCCAATTTTTCTGGCTACAGCGTGGGCATGGAACAGCTGCCACCTCTGTCACCTCTGCCACCAGCCCCATTTCTGCCCTGTGACTCAGGGATTTCGGCAGGTTTGGGAAGGGAGGAGGGGCAAAAGCCACTTCCCTGCCAAAAAAAAGGAGGCGGATGCTGCTCTCGCCCTGTGTCATGCATGAAGTGGATTAATATTAACCCGTCCCTCCATCCTGCCGTCCCTCTGTCCTGCTCTCCTTCTGTCCCTGCCCCACAGCTTGTCCCATGACCCAGCATATGACACTTTTCCTGTCCCTTTAAAGCAGAGGGCAATGAGTGTGTGGGACATGAGCAGCCCGTGGCCTCAGCCGGTGTGAAAGGGCCTCATGTGCTGCCACGGGGTCCCCGTGAGTCACCCCCGGTGCTGGCGTCACCCACGCTGTCCCTTGGTGTCCACCCTGGTGTCCTCCCACCGTGGGAGCTGTGAGGCTCCCAGGATAGCCTGTGATGAAAAATGGGGGTAATATCTCAGTGTTTTGTGGAGAAAGGGGTTATTTGGGGAGGATGGCTGATTTCTAATGCAGAGCCTGCCCTCCCTCCCTGACCTGTCACCTTCAGACGTTTATCTGCTGCTGTTGCTAAGGCACACTGAAGGTGACAAGACCTGTGACACCCATGTGCTGCTGCAGATCTGACACTGTCTTGGGGCTGTCACTGCTGTCCCCAACTCCAGCTGCTTCCCAGCTCTTCCCCATCTCCTCCAGCAGGTCACTGATCCCAACCCTCCACTCTTGGCATCAGCTCTCACCTCCAAGAAAACCCCATAGCAGCTTCTGCAGTCCCAGCAGGGTTTCCGGCCCTGGGGAGCAGATCCTGCTGCTCCCTCCATGCTCGGATGTGGTGGCTGTCACCTTCACGTGGCCCTGCCGTTGTCACCATCCCCTGCTGCAGCTGCATCCCTCTGTGTGTGTGGAGCAGTTTGCTTTCGGTTTCCCATCAGCCAGAGTGCTTGGCACTGCCATGGATCACCTCGTGGCCACCAAGCACTCCCAGTCGCTGGAAATAAACAGGCAGCGAGGAGGAAAATCCCAGAGCTGGGGATGGGGCTTGTTGTGTGGCTCTGCTGGCCCCAAATCCAGCCCCTCACAGATCCCTGTGCATGGATCTGTCCAGGGATCCACCTGCACCTGTGCAAATGGATCTGCTTGTGCACATGGGGATCCATCTGTGCACAAATGGACCCAGCCATGCACACGTGGATCTGTCCATGCACACGTGGATCCACCCATTTACACAGGGATCTGTCCATGCAAACATGGATCTGTCCATGTAAACATGGATCTGTCCATGCAAACAGGGATCTGTCCATGCAAACATGGATCTGTTCATACAAACAGGGATCTGTCTATGCACATGTGGATCTATCCATGCACACGTGGATCTGTCCATGTACACAGGGATCTGTCCATGCAAACATGGATCTGTCCATGTACACAGGGATCTGTCCCTGCCAACATGGATTTATCCATGTAAACATGGATTTGTCCATGCAAACATGGATTTGTCCATGCAAACAGGGATCTGTCCATGTACACAGGGATCTGTCCCTGCCAACATGGATTTATCCATGTAAACATGGATTTGTCCATGCAAACAGGGATCTGTCCATGCAAACAGGGATCTGTCCATGCACATGTGGATCTGTCCATGCATGTGTGGACCCATCCATGCCCCCAGATCTGTCTATGTTCATGTGGACCCATCCATGCACAGGAATTTGCCCATGTCTGTGCAGATCTATCATGCACATGAATACAGCTGTCTGTCCATGCACATCCCTACAGATGCATCTGCTGGTGCACGTGTGGGTCCATCTGTGCAGATGGATCTGTGCTCACGTGGGCTGATCAATGCTCATGGATCTGTCCGTGCTCACCCTGCTGCTGCATCCATCCCTGCATGTGCTGATGGGTGTCCATCATGTCTGTGTGTCTGTCTGTCTGTATGTATGTGCATATGTGTGTGTGTCTGTGTCTGTCTGTGTATGTCTGTGTGTGTGTGTGTCTGCGTGTGTCTGTGTGTCTGTGTGTCTGTGTGTGTGTGTGTGTCTGTGTATGTCTGTCTGTGTGTGTCTGTGTGTGTCTGTGTGTGTCTGTGTGTGTCTGTGTGTCTCTGTATGTCTGTCTGTGTGTGTCTGTCTGCGTGTGTGTGTTTTTCTGTGCCCAGGGATGAGCAAGCACACACAAGTGCCAGGCCCAGAACTCTGTGTCTGTCTGTTAGTGTATGTCTGTGTGTGTGTGTCTGTGTGTGTGTCTGCATCTGTGTATGTCTGTCTGTGTGTGTCTGTGTCTCTGCGTGTGTCTGTTTGTCTGTGCCCAGGGCTGAGCAAGCACACACAAGTGCCAGGCCCAGAACTCTGTGTCTGTGTCTGTGTGTGTGCTCTGAGAGGTGTCCCTGCACACCCAGGGGGGTTGTGTGTATGTTCACAGGTTCACAAGTGCCCAGGGGTGACCGTACACACACAGGGGGTGTGTGAGCACACGTGCACGTTCCGTGTGCATGCATGCACAACTGTGTGTGTGCACACACGTGTGCCAGGCTCAGGGCTCTGTGTGTGCCCATGGCTGCCGGTGCCCGGCGTGCCCGTGGCCATCCAGGGCTGCTGTCTGTCCCTGGCACATCTGTGCAGATGTGCGTGTGTGCCCAGGTGAGCTCACCCGCGTGTGTTTGTGGTAACGGGGGCTCACACACGCGGTGCCCCGGGCCGAGCCGTGCCGAGCCGATCCGATTCCGGGAAATCCGAGCCCATCCCATCGTAACCGAGCAGCTCCAGCCTGTCCCGAACGGCGCCGATCCGAGCCCAGCGGTGGCGAGTCCAGCCCACCGAACGACCCGAGCGGTTCCGATCGGCTCCAGCCCGACCCGCGCGGTTCCGATGGGACCTGAGCTGTTCTGCTCGGACCCGAGCGGTGCAGATGGGACCCAGCAGTGCCGGCCGGTGCCGCTCGGTGCCCTCCCGGTGCTGGCCCGGCCCGGGCCCCGCGGGGCCTGGCGTCTCGCCAGTGATTTCTCATAAACCACATGCTGCCGCGGCGCTATAAAGGGGAGCGCGGCCGCGGCGGCGGCTCAGCCCGGCCCCGCTCGGCCCCGCCGCTGCCGCCGTCTCGCCCGCTCCGCCCGGCCCCGGTCCCACGGCAGCCCCCATGCCCCGCCTCGGAGCCAAGGTACGGCGGCCCCTCCCGCTCCCCGCGGCCGCGGAGACCCCCCCTCAACCCCCGCTGCCACCTGTGCGGGAGCGGCGGCCCCCGGTGTCCCCTGCCCCCGTGGTGGGTCCCCTCCTCCGGGGGTCCCGGCTCCCGGCGGGGGATGCTCCAGCCCCGCCTCGGTTGGCGGTGGCAGCCCCGGATCCGCGGGGTGAAGCCGCGGCTCCAGCCCCGCTTCCCGGATCCCGGTTCCCGGTTCCCGCCTCCAGCCCGGTCACCGTTCCCAGACCCGGCGTGGGGAGGCCCCGGCTTCAGCCCCGGCCCCAGCCCCGGCCCCGGCGCGGGGATGCTGCAGCCCCGGCTCCATTCCCGGACCTGCGCGATGAGGCTCCAACCCCCAGCCCGGCTCCAGCCCCGTCCCGGTCCCCGGCCCCGTCCCCAGCCCCGTTCCCGGCTCCAGCCCCGTCCCCAGCCCGTTCCCGGCGGGGTGAGGCTCCGTTCAGCCGTGGCCACATCTCGGCGGTGGCCCGGGCGGCATCTTGGAGTTTCACAAGAGGGGAGGATTCCTGGACATCATCCAAGGGAAATTCCCCCCCACCCATCACCCAGGCACCCTCTCCCTGCCGGTGCCCCGGGAGGCGGGGGCGCACCCCCACCCGAGGGTCTCCGCCACCCCCTCCTCGGGAGCCTTGGCTCCGAGACAAGCCCCGTTTCTCACCGGGGTCCCGCCACGGATCGGGGCCTCCCCGCTTCTTTGCAGGGGGATTGGGAGGGAAATTTGGGACGAGGCCAGAGCTGCTGCATGGAAAGAGCCCGGCGGGGGCAGCTGGGGGGGTCTGGAGGGTGGGAAGAGGATTTTTGGGGATGGGTGGGTCAGTGTGTCAGATGGGCTCTGGAGAGCCAGGGCGGAGGAGGAGATTTGCAGGAGAGACGGAGAAATGGTGCGGGAGAAGGGAGAGGGGCTGGATTGGGAAGGTGGAGGTGGCCAAGAGCCACATCCAGGCTTGTGTCACCGGGCCTTGGGAAATTCCCTGCTGACCTGGAGCTCCTAAAAATAGCAGGATGGGGATAGGCACGGGGTTGGAGGACCACAGTGGGATTATCCTGCTGGACCGTGGCCAAGTCCCGGCTACCACAGAGGTGGTCACGCTGCGGGGTGGTGGAGAGGGGCAGGGGGCTTAGCGTGTGTGTGGCTTATCCCTGCTTCAAACTCTTCCCGTGTCGTGCTCAGGTGTGCCTGCTCCGCTGCTCCCTGCTGCCGTCCCTCCTCCTCCTCCTGCTCCGCATCCATGAGACGGAGCAGAACAGCTACTGCGAGCAGATCATCACCGAGAGACACCTGGCCGAGCTGGAGGAGCTGGTGAGTGCCCTGCCGGGGCTGTGCCGTGCGATGGGGGCTCATCCGGGGCCAGACGGGCACAAAGCAGCTCTTTTTTAGTGCTGAAATAAGGAAATGGGGCGATTTTCAGCTGTCCTAGTGAAGCGATGGTACCCAGGAGCTGAGCATCCCTGGGCACAAGGGACAAGTGGGCACCGGGGGGTGACAGATGTCGTGCCTTTATCAAGGGAGCCATGGAAAAGTGACGCCAGGAGCAACGAGAGGAGAGGAAGCGGGAGCGAGGCCGGGAAGGGGACAGGAGTGAGGCTGGATGGGTGCAGGGGCGCGGGGGAAGCAGCGCAGGGGCCGGCGCTGCGGGCTGCGGTGCTTTCCGGGCGGCTGCGCAGGGGTTAAGCAGAGGAATCCGGCTGCATTCCTGAGTCCAGCTGCTTGCCTGGAAGCTGGGCTGGCGACGGGGCTGTGGGTGGGTGGCAGGCAGCGAGGGGGGCCCGGCCGGGCGATGGAGCCGGGCGCTGGGGCCGTCATCCCGCCCAGCCCGTGGGCAGCTCCGGGCGCTGGCAGCCGCCCCGCAGCACGGCCAGCCCTGCCCCAGCCGATCCAGCTGCCGGGGCCCTATCTCTGTCTCCGTGGCCCTTGGCTCACCTCCGAGCGGGGAATCACGCGGATGTTCAGGGGAGAAGCGGGAATCGGGGGCACGCAGGGATTTGCAGGGTTGTCGCAGATTAAATTCTGCCTGCAGCAAGAGGGGTGTGCGGGCGAGGGACGGGAGCGGCGCCTCCGAGTCCCCGAGAGCTGCTCCGAGCTCGGTGTAACCGCCGTGTCCGGGCTCGCTTCACCTCTTCCTCTTTAACCACCGAGCTGCGGGGCCAGGAGCCTTTGCTGTGGGCGAGCTCGGCTTCCTCTGCCCGAGCCCTCTCTGCACTGCACATCCCCGGAGCCTTTGCTCTCCGCCCAGGGATTAAAATTGGGTCCGCGGCTGTGGGAGAACGGGGACGGAGCAGGTTTGAATGGGAGATGTGGTTTTTCCTGCCTGGGATTGCAGCCCTCTCCTCGCCGATGGAGGAGCTGGCCCTCGCTCCAGCGCCTGCAGGATAATGGAGCAATTGTTTCCGGGACGGCATCCCAGGCTAGAGGAGAATTGCCGGCCGGTAATTCTGCCAGCCCTCGCCCTCCCAGCCTGGGATGGCAGCCCGGAGGGAGAGCGTTTGGTTCGGGTGGGTTTTTCCTGCCATTGGAAAGGGTCGTGGCATGGGCGGCCGGCAGCGCTGCGTGTGGGACCCCGGCGCCGTGTGATCCCGGAGAATGTGTGACCCTGGTGTCACGGCCACCTCCTGCACCGCACGATGCTCTTTTGCTGCCTGGATTTAGAGGAGAGAGTGCTGCGGGAGAGACCCGAGGAGAATTAAGCAGGGCTGGGCTCTGCTGTGGAGCTGGCAGGAAGAGGAGGAGGAGGAGGAGGAAGAGAGGCGGGGTGGGAGCAGGCAGGGAAAGGCAGGAGAAGGTCTGTGAATTGGGGAGTGCAACATCCTGATGGGAGCAGGAATCCTGAGCTTCCTCCTGCCACTGCATCAACCTTAGGGATGTGCCTGTGTGAGGAGGAGGAGTGTGGGATGGGATGAAGCAGGAATGGGAGCAAAGTCCTTCTAGCTCTGTGGATTTGGGGGTCTCAGGCACTCCATGCCCAGACCATGGCATATCTGGGTGGCTCAGCCCCTGTGCTGTCCCTGGGGATGTGGGTGACATCCTGCTTTGTCCTTCCTGGGGATGTGGGTGACATCCTGCTTTGTCCTTCCAGGCTGACACCCAGATGCAGCACCCGGGCAGGGTCTCCTTCAAGTTCATTGACAAGATGCAGTTGGTGAGTGGTTTCTTGCTGGGGACAGGAATTGGGGCTGGCTGGGGCATGGTGGGGGGTCCCCACTCTCCCCTCTCATCTCCCTTTGCAGGAGACAGCCCAGGAGGGACCCATCCTGCTAGGCCAGGTGGCTTCCAAGTCCCACTTTGGAACCCTGTGGGATTGTAGAAAGGCATTTGGTGCCTCTGTGCCTCAGTTTCCCCCAGGCAGAGTGGGATGCCCATCTGGTAACCACTGTCACTTTTTGTCACTGTGTCCTTGCAGAACAACTCCATCTGCTATGTGAAAGCTGCTTTTCCCCTGATGGGCAAGATCCTGGAGAGAACAGAGTTCAAGGAGAACTCGTCCAATGCCCAGAAGATGAAGATGGTGCGCAGGATGTACAAAAGCATCGATGACAACGTGGACCCCTGCATCAGGGAGGAGGATGATGAGGAGAGAATGGTACAGTCACCCCCACCTGGTGGGGCTTTGGAACTGGGTCCTCATCCTGGGGTGAAATGGGATGTGCAGAGTGTCCCTGGGGTGAAATGGGATGTGCAGAGCATCCTGGGGTGCAATTTGATGTGCAGAGCATCTTGGGGTGCAATGGGATGTGCAGAGTGTCCCGGGGAGAAATGGGATGTCCGGAGCATCTTGGGGTGCAATGGGATGTGCAGAGCATTCTGAGGTGAAGTGGGGGGTCCAGAGCATGCTGGTGTGAAATGGGATGAGCAGAGCATCTTGGGATGCAATGGGATGAGCAGAGCATTCTGAGGTGCACTGGGATGTGCAGAGTGTCCCGGGGTGCAGTGGGATGAGCAGAGCATTTTGGGGTGCAATTGGATGTGCAGAGTGTCCCGGGGTGCAGTGGGATGTGCAGAGTGTCCCGGGGTGCAGTGGGATGTGCAGAGCATTTTGGGGTGCACTGGGATGTGCAGAGTGTCCTGGGGTGCAGTGGGATGTGCAGAGTGTCCCGGGGTGCAGTGGGATGTGCAGAGCATTTTGGGGTGCACTGGGATGTGCAGAGTGTCCTGGGGTGCAGTGGGATGTGCAGAGTGTCCTGGGGTGCAGTGGGATGTGCAGAGTGTCCCGGGCTGCAATGGGATGAGCAGAGCATTCTGAGGTGCACTGGGGTGTGCAGAGTGTCCCGGGGTGCACTGGGATGTGCAGAGTGTCCCGGGCTGCAATGGGAGGAGCAGAGTGTCCCGGGGTGCAGTGGGATGTGCAGAGTGTCCCGGGGTGCACTGGGATGTGCAGAGCATTTTGGGGGGCAGTGGGATGTGCAGAGTGTCCCGGGGTGCAATGGGAGGAGCAGAGTGTCCCGGGGTGCAGTGGGATGTGCAGAGTGTCCCGGGGTGCAGTGGGATGTGCAGGGTGTGCATGGGGTGCACTGGGATGTGCAGAGCATTTTGGGGTGCAGTGGGATGTGCAGAGTGTCCCGGGGGGCACTGGGATGTGCAGAGCATTTTGGGGTGCACTGGGATGTGCAGAGTGTCCCGGGGTGCACTGGGATGTGCAGAGTGTCCCGGGGTGCAATGGGATGAGCAGAGCATTCTGAGGTGCACTGGGATGTGCAGAGTGTCCCGGGGTGCACTGGGATGTGCAGAGCATTTTGGGGGGCACTGGGATGTGCAGAGCATTTTGGGGGGCACTGGGATGTGCAGAGTGTCCCGGGGTGCAATGGGATGTGCAGAGTGTCCCAGGGTGCAATGGGATGTGCAGTGTCCCGGGGTGCAGTGGGATGTGCAGAGCATTTTGGGGGGCAGTGGGATGTGCAGAGTGTCCCGGGGTGCAGTGGCATGTGCAGAGTGTCCCGGGGTGGGTGTGTGGCAGGGCTGTGGAGCAGAGCAGAGCTGGGGTGTGCATGGAGCCACGAGGAACCAGCAAGTCAAGTCCTGCCTTGGGAGTGCTCTGGTGTCTGTAGGGGTGACACTGGGTGGTCGTGGAGCTGATGCTGAGCCCGGTGCTTCCTCCAGCTCTCACAGATGTGCTTCAAGGAGTTCACCACGTCCCCCTACGAGATGCTGGTGCTGGTGAAGGATTTCTTCCAGGAAATCAAGCGCCTGCTGCAGGAACAGGAGACTTTTGCGAAGGATTGCAGCCAAGTTTACCGCAGGGTGTGCCTGGGACCCAAGAAGGCTGGATCCTCACCAGGTGAGATGCCAAGCCTTGCCTCTGCCCAGTAAACCTGTGCCAGTCTGGGGTCTGGGGGGCTTGGGCTCGCCTGCATGGAGCACCTTAAGAGTCGTGTGTCTGTGGGTGTGGCACGTGTCCACCTTGGCCCCTTTCTGTGTCAGTGAGCTCTGCATCAGTGTCAGGGGAGAAGGGGCTGGCTGCCATTTGAAGGTGGGATTTGGGCTAAATCCTGCTGGAACAAGGCAAGGGAGAGATGTGAGGGGGACCAAGGAGGCGTCGGGCTCTGTCTCAAAGCCCCGATGCTGGGTGGAGCATAACAGAGAAATGGAGGGACTGCTGTGCCACCAACACGCTGCATGACCTTGGCTGTGTCACTTCAGCTGCCTCGTGCCTCAGTTTCCCCTGGCCAAGCCTTCGGGGCGAGTGCTGCTGTCGGGGTGGAGGAGCCCTGTGTTGCCGTCCGCGCTTCCGCGAGCGCCTGTGCTGTGTTTGCATGGAGGAGATGTCCCACTGTCACCCCATGTTGGAGCTGTGCCATGTCCTTGTGCCGTGGGGACCTTAAACGTGGCTCTCTGGCTCCTGCAAGTTGTGAATAACCCACTGCCATCAGCTCAGGGGACCCGGTGACTCGGGTTTGCTTCATCCCACCCGCTGCTTGTCACCCTCACGCTGCTCCTGCCTGTTCCCTGCCTCTCCCTGGCTCTCCCATTTTTTGAGGGGCTGTTTGACCCGCTTGCCCGGGGCTGCGGGGAGGGACGGGGACAGTGCCCCCGACCTCAGATCTGCTGCCTGTGCCCCTCTTGGAGGCTGGTGACCCCACGGCTGTCTCTTCTCTCTCCTTCTTTCAGGTGTGGGGACAGATCCTGACTGCAATTGCCTGTCCCCTGCCCTCCCTTCCGCCACCCAGCCCTCCCTCTCTGCTGCCACTGGCAGGGACACGGCACCCGCTAGCACCCGGGTCCCTTCCAGCCTCCTCCATGCCACCCTCGCTGACTTAGAGGCCCCATCTCAGCCCCCCAGTAGCACGGATGGGGGCTCAGGGACCGAGGAGGTCCTGGCTGCCGGGCTAGGTGACACAGCGCTGGCCCCCGGGATGAAGCAGACAGCTCCAGGCAGCAGTGCCGAAGCCCTCCAGGATCCGGCCGGGACGCTGAGCCTGGCACTGGGTGACATCCCCGTCCTCCGTGGGGATGGAGAGCTGGTGGAGTGGGGCACCGGCCACCTGCCGCAGGATCCAGGCCAGCAGTGGGGAGGCTCCATCCTCCCGGAGCAGCGCGGCGGGCTCAGGACCAGCCCTCCGACAGCATCGCCCAGCGCAGCCCGGACCCGTCCCGCGGCCGCGGTCACGCAGCTCCGCTTCTCCAGGATGGCCCCGGAGCTGCGAGCCCCGGGCAGCGCCAGGGACAGGGCCAGGGCGTGGGGCTGGGGGCTCAGCCGGCTGCGGGGCCCCGAGGATGGCGGCGGGGCCGGGCCCAGCTTTGACTCTGGCTTTGTTCTGGGCGCAGAGCAGCGCAGGAAGGAGCCGCCCGCCAGCGAGGGCCGCCAGGAGCCCCTCATCTACATTACGGTGGCCAGTGTGGTGGCCGTCCTGCTGGCCACGGGAGGGCTGCTCTTCTACAAGTATAAATCCAGGGTAAGACCCCAGCTGTTCCCCTCCCCGGGCACCAAGATTCTCTCCTGCCTCAGTTTCCCCACTTGTCTCGGCCAGCGTGGTTTCAGCCCCATTTTCCCCATAATTTTGAGACTGGAGGACAGTTTGTTGGTGGTGCTGAGCGTGGTGGGAGGGTGTTATTTGGGATATTTGCCACCCTGCTGCTGCAGCCTCCTCCCCTTCCCCAGGGCTCATTTCCCTCCCCCACCTCATCTCCTCCCCGGGCACCGAGATCCTGCCTCAGTTTCCCCACTTGTCTCTTGGCCACTGTGGGTTAATCCCCATTTCCCCTATAATTTTCCTATACTTTTGAGACTGGAGGACAATTAGTTGGTGGTGCTGAGCGTGGTGGGAGGGTGTTATTTGGGACATTTGCCACCCTGCTGCTGCAGCCTCCTTCCCTTCCCCAGGGCTCATTTCCCTCCCTCCACACAGGTCCTGCAGCGGCCGCTGGAGGATGGAGGCTGTGACCCCGAGGAGCCAGAGAGGAGGTGGGTGTGACACCATCCTGCATGGGGGGACCTTGGGGACCCCCACCCTGGGTGACCCTGCCCTAAACCCCCCCATCTTTCTGTCACAGGGCGCTGCAGGGCGCAAGGGAATGTTCAGAGCTGGAGACTCAGGATCTCTGAGGTGATCAGGGGCTGGGTGGGACCTTGAAGGGCTCCGGTCCGAGCTGTGAGGACAATATTGTGTCTCCATTGGTGCTGACCTTGGCCATGAGCAGGGAAATTCTGGGTGGGAAGACACGGACAGGAGCAGGTCTGCGCCCCAGCGCTGCCAGCATGTGGTTTCGCAGCTCGTTAATCCATTACTGGCACTTTCTTAATATACATAGTATTTTTTCCTGTGGTTTTCGTGTGTTTCTCCCCACGCTGCCCTCCCTGGCAGAGCCCCAGCTCCTGCTCATCTCTCTCCTCCTTTTCCCAGGGCCCCAGGCAGGATGTGAAGCTGCTCGGGGGGGACGGATGCGGACGGAAGGAGGGTTGGCACGCGCCGGCCTCGCCGCGATCCCACCGTGATGCTGACACTCCCTCTGCCCTTGCCCCGCGCCGGTGGCCAGAGACTGCAAAAAACTCCCTGGCAGGGACAGAAGGATGGGGGGATGTGCCCTGAGTGGGACCCCTGGGCACCAGGAAGCGAAGGGCTGGAGCCATGCCTGCAGGCTGGTGTGATGCTGCGGTGCTGAGCAGGACCATGGAGTGCTGGATGTGGGTGATGGAAGCTGATCCCACCTGGACACGGCCAGAGCTGCATGAAGATGGAAGGGATTGGCTCCCCAAATCCTCTGGCTCTTCTCCCATCCCAGCAGAGTGGGTTTGGAGCAGCACCCATCGCCTCCCTTCACCCTGCCTTTCCTGAGGCTTCAACTGGAGCATCCTGAATTTTGGGGGGGGCAGTCCTGAGACCCCCAGCCCTGACTTGCAACTCAAACCCTCACACTGTGAATATTTAAAGCCCACCCGTCCCTGCACGGGGCTGGGTTTGGGGTGACCCTTGGCACCATCCCAGTCCCTCCCCATCCTCCTGTTGTTAGGGCTTATTTTTTATTTTTTAGTAGAGTGGATGAAAGTCTTTATCCTGCACAAGTGTTCTGGGGGGGCCGTGTGCCCCTCACAGGGTCCTCACCACGAGCTGGCCTCGCTGGGATTCCATTTCTTTGGTGACTGCGCTTTGGAGAAGGGAATGGGGCTGGGAAAGATGGGATCCACGTGGGTGTAAGAGCTGGAACTGCCCCAGCTGGGCACCCTGGGGCTTTGGGAAGAGCCTGCTTTGGGACACACCAGCCCTGGATATGCCCCGAAATCCAGCAGCTCCCTCCAGCCCCGGATGAAGCGTGGCCCACGCTGCTCTGGGAGTTTCAAGCATTATTTTTATATGAAGGATGAAAATATGGACAAACCCAACTGTTTTTAAAGAAAGCATCACTATTAATTTGGGGTTTTTTATATAAATATATATATATGTGTGTGTATTTATGACTGGCAGAAGGAGGGGGTTCCTGGGCGAGGGACTGGTGTAAATCAGGATAAAAGCCCTGATGCAGCAGGAAGTCTGGGGCCAAACTCCTTGGTGGTGTAAGTCACCAGTTTACACTGTGGAGGAGCTGCTCCTGGGGGAGAAAACTTGCCTTTACCCATGTTGGATTTATTTTGCCTTTTTGTTTTTGTTGTTGTTGTTGTTTGGTTGGGGCTTTTTGTTGGTTTTGGGATGGGTTTGTTTTTTTTTTTTATACAATGAAATCCTGAAATATTTTATACAAAAGCATTTAAAAGTCTATTTAAAGAAAATAATGGAAAACAACTTGTATATTTAATATTATTAATAAACAGAGAGGTGTAGCTTGGTGTAAGTCTGGGATGCAAGGGGGGACTGAGCTGTCTCAGCCCTGGAGTCCCTGAGGGGGTGACTGGGGTTGAGTCCTGGTACTGTTACCCTGACCTGCTTCCCTGTGGATGCATGTGGGAGTTCATGGCCACTGGAATGAGGGCAGAGGGATTCATCTGCCCTTCCTGCCCCAGCTCTGCTGGCATTGCTGAGACCTCCAGGCACCAGCTCTGGCGCTGGGGGCCCCCCAAAATCTGTGTGAACGGTTGGGAAGCAGCTGTTTAAAGCAAACACACTTGAGGCAAAGTTTCCTGGAGCACTTTGCTTAGAGTGACAGTCCTGGAAGAGGCATTTCCTCCCCCCCTGCTGCTCCCCCTGCTTCCCTTTCTTCTTTCCAGGAGCAGGGGAGCCCCACATCCTGCTCCCCCTGCACACATCCAGCATCTCCAGGGGGATGCCAGGGGGCTCCCACACCACCCTGGATCCCTGCCAGCCCATGGGGTGTGCAGGGTGAACACCCCCATTGCTCATCCAAGGGGGTGGCAAGGGCAAGAGGGGATTTGGGAGCATTCTGTGAGTGCCAGGGCTGAGCTGCTGCCTGGTTTGCTGACAAACAGGATTCCTCGAGGGGAGCTGACTCAGCCCAGCCCTTCCTCTCCCCAGCAGCAGCCGGGGGTTTCCCAGGTCCACATCCCCTTCCCAGGGAAGTGGGACCTATATATATCCTGCTGGATCCGTGCCACGGTCATTATGGTCACATCTGGGGGGTGTTTGAGGCCAGAGGCTGCTCTTAGGGGTGGGCACCGTGCCCGGGTTTGGGGGTGCTGAGGGCAGCGAGTCTCTGGCCTGCTCCAGGGTGCTCCAGGGTGCTCCAGAGCTGCACAGGAGAGGGTGGCTGGAGCTGGATGATGGCAGCTTGAGGCTGTGGCAGAGCTGGGGGGCAGAGGTGGGAGCATGCCAGGCTGCCTGGTATATTTTATTTTTTCACCAGTCCCCAACCCCTCTGTACTTACACCCCACAGTCCCTCATCCCTGACTTTTTCTGGCTGCTCTGTGTGCTGTGAAAGCACCTGGAAAATGCAGGAAAAAAGCTGAACTCTGTCTCCCTGCCCTCAGGTTCAGGTCAGGAGGGTCCCTCTGCTCCTCATGCTCCCAGCTGGGGCCTTTTCCCCACCCTATTCCCGGCCTGTGTGGGGGCAGGATGTGATTCCCTGCCATGGGCACCTTCCACCCCCAGCCCCTGCAATCTGGGGGGCAAAATCTGCTCTCAGCCCCCCACTGAGGAACCCCATGGGGCTCCATCCCTGTCCCTCAGCACTTGTAGGGGAGGGTAGAAAAGAACCCCCCAGCCCAGGGCACCCAGGGTGGGGGCACCCGGGGGTCCCTCCTGGGGTCCCAAATGGGTGCTGGCACTGCAAAAATGTGCTTTGATGGGATGAGAACAGGGGGTTTGGGGGAAAAGATGCATGGTGGGAGGGGAAAGCATCAGCAAGAGGCTCCCAGGACCTGAAGCACGGGCTGGCATGGAGTGGCACAGACTGTGGTCACCGGGGGTCCTGGGTGTCCCCACACCCCTGCTGCTTGTGGCATTGGCAGGGCTGGGACACCTCAGGCTCATCGTGTTGTTCCAAAACCTCCCAAGCACTCGGAGACCCCCCCAGACGTGCTGAGACCCCCGGCAGGAGCCCCCAGAGAGCTCGGCCCGCCCCGGGAGCCTCCCCAGCGCCACCGCAGAGCTGCTGACGGGGCAGGAGCGGCGGAAAGGCCCCGCGGCCCCGGGGCACGGCGGCTCCGGGACAGGGGTTTGGCCCAGGAACTGCTGCAGGATTTGGGTGCCCAGAGGCCGTTTTGTGGCCAGACAAAGTGATTTTGGTTAAAAACGGTTATCTGCTCTTTCCCCTGGGGTTTTAACCCACACGCGGATGTTTTCCCAGCTTGGATTTTAAGGGAAGGAGGAGCAGGGCTCAGGCCTAACCCCTCCCGGCTGCCTGGGGGGCGTTTGGGGATGGGGTCGGGGTGGCCCCCCCGCCTGTCTGTCTGTCCTGGAATGTCCCCAGAGCCCGGGTGGGGACTCTGTGGAGCCGGGACCGCGGTCCGGGATGCGGATGGGGACCCTCAGTGTCCCTGAACCGGGACAGGTTGGTTGTGACCCTCCCTGGAATGCAGGAGCTGGCTGCAGGAGGGTGAGGAGGAGGAGGAGTGCGGGAGGAAGCCCTGGCCAGGCTCAGCACCCCCCAAATTGCTCAGCACCCACAAAAAGTGCTCAGCACCCCCAAACACTGCTCAGTACCCCCAGGCCGGGCTGGGGATGTGGGCGGGTGAGTGCGGGGACGCGGTGGCTCCGCTCGGCTCGTTAATGGCTAATGAGGGCCGGGAGGGCACTGCCCTGACCCCGGGCTGGCGCTGAGCCGGGACAGCGGGGCCAGCACGGCCGAGCCTGCCCGGGGCCAGGGAGCCGGCACCGAGGGGGTTAACACACCTGGGGATGGGCACACACACACCTGGGGATGGGCACACACACACCTGGGATGGGCACACACACACCTGAGGATGGGCACACACACACCTGGGATGGGCGCACACCTGGGGATGGGCACACACACACACCTGGAGATGGGTACACACACACCTGGGATGGACAGACACACAGCTGGGGATGGGCACACACACACCTGGGATGGGCACACACACAGCTGGGGATGGGCACATGCACACACACACCTGGGGATGGGCACACACACAGCTGGGGATGGGCACACAGACACACCTGGGGATGGGCACACACACACCTGGGATGGGCGCACACCTGGGGATGGGCACACACACACACCAGGGGATGGGCACACACACCTCTGGAACCAGACACACTCCTTGATATTTTATTTTTTCACCAATTTACTTTTATCTCTGTTTTATTTAAACTATTTTTTTTCCTAATTTAATCATGTTTTTTCCTTCTGCTTTACTTCTTCCTTCTGAAAAAACACAATTTTTTTTACTCCGAAAACTCTCATTCTTTAGCTTCAGCTTTTATTTCCCAATTAATGAATCAATTAATTTCTGTAACTTATTTAGTTTCTCTATTTATTAGAAAAAAATATACAAATTAATGTAATTTATTAATTAAATATATATAATTCGGTTATTTAACATATAAATTTATGCACATTATACATATGCATAGAATGAATTTATACAAATTTTGTAGCTTTAAAATAACTTATAAATGTAAACGTATATAACTTATAAATAAATTAATATATAACATTTATAACATATATGTTATAAATTAACATATATATAT